AGAGAGATGGCATTATATACCTAGTAGCGGCTTTGGAAACCTTCCTTTTCTGGTGGCTGGAAAATATGTGTTATGAACTTGTTCAGAAAAAGACATCAGTTTAGAGCTCAAAAATGCTTGTCTAATGAGCTCTGGTGGTGTTGTGGGTTAAGTGCTAGGATGCTAACCTTAAGGTCGGCAGTTCCAGCCTACCAGCTGCTCGAGAGCAAGTGCAGACTTTTTGCACCTGTGAAGATTTACATGTTCAGTCCCTGAGGTGGACTCAACTTCATGGCAGTGGGCTAATGCATAGTTGGGGGTCCTGGTGGACCAGTGGACTAAGTGTTTGGCTGCTAACCCTAAATTCAGCTCCGTGGAGAAGGAACATGAGGCTGCCTTAGAAAGTCTATGGAACAGGTCTGCTGTGCCCTATCGGCGGCTGTGAGTTGGAATAAACTCAGTGGCAGCGGGTGATTGTGTGTCTCAGGAGCCCTAGGGGCACAGGGGTGAAGCACGCAGCCACTAACAGAGAGGTTAGAGGTTGGGACACACCGGCCATGCTGCAGGAAAAGGACAAGACGACCTGCCTCCGTAATGGTTACAATAGAGCCTTGGAAACTATGGGGCAGTTCGACTGTGTCCTGCGGGGTCACTCTGTGTCAATGAGGTGGCACAGCTCTCTCTAGTCCAAACTGGAAACCGAACCGTTCTCAGTTCTCTGCCCACAGATTCCCCCCTCCGAAGTGCGTGTGAGATAAATGATTGTTGTGTGTTGTGTACCCTTTCCCACAGTAGCATATGTAACCCCAGCTCTCCCTAACCAGGCCTCCTCATTTTAACACAGGTTGCTTTCAGAGTGAAATTGAACCATCACTGTGAAGTTGAAATATTGCTTTCCATTCGAAATACAGTCTGCTTATTCCCTACCGACGTATGTAGCAAGAGTGACTATCTAAAGCTCATTGAAAGCAAGGGTCCCTTCGCAGTCACGGTACTTCCTGGGTCTAGCAGTATGGAGCTGAGGAAATGGCTCAGCAGCCACAGCTACACAAAGGAGGAGAAGCCCCAGCCGCCAAGGCCAATTGCCCCAAGGCAGAGGTTAGACTGGCCTCCGGCCTCCATCTGCCAGCCTTCTTTGACCCTATTTTGACACCAGCCATTCCTCCCACAGCACTCTACTTCTCCGTTCAGTTTACAGACAAAACTCACAACTATTGGGGTTCAATAGGAAGCCTAATAGGTTACCACAAAGCAGGAACAAAACACATGGAAGATGCCGTCCTTGGGGCACAGCAGCACCTCTGCTCAGCCAGCAGCCAAGTCTCTCTCTGCTCTCAGTCTCTCAGTCCCCTGGTCTCTGCCTACTTGGGCCAGGAAGTCCACCTGCCACTCTGCCTCATTTCCTCATGGTCTCAATGGCACAGTTCCTTGGCTATGTCCTGGTGTGAGTACTCTGGTACATCTGCTGCCCCTGCCACTTCTCGCATGCACTCGGGTGGTGGCTCTTCTTTCTTGGGGGTCATGGGGGAGCCTCTGTTCCTGCTTCTGAGATGGCTCACTTCTACCCAGCGGAATAGGAAATCTGGCAGTCCCCTCTATTAGTGTTTCACACCCTATATTTGCCTAGCTCCGCCCAATCGTTCAGTGGGAGTTAGAGAAAAGAGATCAGAAGCGACAAACTAAGCAAATTCACTTCACCACACTAGCACAGGGTATGCAATTAGTGAGGATTGGGTAAGCTGAACTGGTGATTCCAGAGCTAAGGGCTAGACTGCCTAAATAGCTGATAAGTTCCATTTTCTCTCACCATCCTCTTTATAGGGAGAATCAACAACGCTTGCAAGCAGAATTCTCAGACATGCTTGCCAACTCTTTGCAGAAAAGACAGGCTGCCGGGATGAGAAACCGAAAACCAACTCGCATAGCCAGCTACAAAAAAGGCACTCTGGAATACTTGCAACTGGATAGCACAGGCAAGGAGAACACCTATTTTTAAAGAAGACCCACGAACTCGGGCCAGTAAAATCCAGTCTCCCGTGTCCTGGAAAGCCTGTACTTTTCTGGGACGTCCCTGAAAGAGAAAAAGACTTAGATGCATTCTCCTTTGCAATGGCTGGAACACAAACTGTCTTCCACGAATCAAATGTGAGCTCTCAATATAAAAACTACCTTCTGCTCCAGGGACCTCCCATCTGCATAAAAGGAGCAATGGAATGAATATACTACCTAGAACTTCAGGAGATTTTGTTCTTATTTCATTTATGCTTTGTTTACTAACCTTCCCTCCCCCCCTATTTTCATGAAAGGTTTTTTTTTTAATTGCCCCAATTATATTTTAAATACCTTATGGCCATGAAATTATATTTAACTCATAATTTTTGGAGAGAATATGTTATATTTTAGACAGGAATAAAAGTTAAAAGTGTGCCGTGTCTGTGAATATGGCTCCACCTTTTCTCCCCATTTTCCCAGAATGCACCAGATATCTGTGTTCCCTGGGCACACAGAACTCCCCTGCACTGAAGTGGAGTAAAGCTAGCATTGTTGCTCAGGGGCAAGAGCCCCAAAGGTCAGTAGCACCTACTGCACTGAGGAGATTTTTATGGCTGTCCTCGTACCCAGAGAAATAGGGCCTGTAGCTGTCTTGGGTCTAAGGTGAAGTCAAATCCTATTTACCTGTGAAGACACAGTATTCAAACTCTGCAAATATCGCCTTGCCACCACGCAGCAAGAAACCTTAGTGACACCATGGTTAAGTGATTGGCTGTTCACTGAAAGGTTGACATTTCGAACCCACCAGCTGCTCTACTGGAGAAAAACTAAGGATCTGCTCCTGTTAAGATTTCAGCCTAACCCCCATGCCCTCCCACCCTAGGGGGACAAATAACAGAAATATGGGTGGAGAGACAGCGGATGGGGTAAGATATGAAAATAACAATAATTTATAATTTATCAAGGGTTCATGACGGTGGGAGGAGGGAGGGAAAAGGAGGAGCTGATACCAAGAACTCAAGTAGCAAGACAGTGCTTTGAAAATAACAATGGCAAAATATGCACAAATGTGATTGATACAATTGATGTATGGATTGTTCCAAGATCTATAAGAGCCCCCCATAAAATGATTTTTTAAAAACACGATTTTAGTCTAGAAAACCCTATGGGAAGTTCTATACTGGCTAAAAGGGTCCCCCTATGCATCAGAATCAACTCAAAGGCACTCAACAACCACTCAACTGCTCTCCCAGCCTCCTCCTTTGTGCCCGGCACCACTCATGAGTTTCTGAGAAAATGACAAATATCAGCTATTGTGTAGGCTAGAATCTGTAACCAAAAACCCAAACCAAGTGCCATCAAGTCAGTTCTGTGTCATCGAGACCCAACATAGGGTTTCAAAACCTGTCAATATTTCTGGGAGCTGACCACCTCGCCCTTTCCCCAAGGAGCAACTGGTGGATTTGAACCACTGGCCTGTCCGTTAGCAGTTCAATGCTTACTGGATAGCACTACCAGGACTGCTCAGAGTCAGTAAAGGCAAGAAGAAATGTGTGGCACTTCTGGCAATAGGCTCTAAAGGGAAACAACTGCTTCACTTTATAACTCTTCCCCTAAATCTCTGCTCCGGAAATCACTCCAGAGATTATGAAGAAGCCGTGTCTTCTCTACCACAAAGGAAACCAAGAAAGAAAAACATTGCCTCCTGCTGAAAAAGATGAGCATTTAATCTACACTAATTCTGGAGGCTTGTAGTCTGTATGTGCAGCACAAGGAGCCTTCTGCAGGGCATGGGACAACAACATGGATGTTCTCAGTAAACACATGCAAGCATCTCCACTTATGCCAGGGTCTGTACTTGGTATTAGAGATACAGAAACATGTCTGTCCTTAGAGGCTTTGGATCTAATAGAAGAGAGAGACGTGTTAGGAGATAGATGGGTTTGGGTACGAAACAGCGTTTTTGACATCTGACAAATTTAGCACCTCAAAGACCACGAGAGAAACTCAAAATCATCTTTCATGCTAATGGGGCAGTGACTACACAACCCCTCAACCAGAGGTTCCAATGTTCACCTGCCCTCACAGAAGCTCCATGATTATGACCTTGAAATAGAGGTGTGCTTGCTCACTTAATCAAACCCACTGCCATCAAATCGATTGTGGCCCTATATAGGGATTCCAAGACTGCATATCTGGATGGAAACATCCTGTCTCATCTTTCTCCAACAGAGCAGTTGGTGGGTTTGAACTGTCAGCCTTCAGGTTAGTAGCCCAACACATAACTGCAGCACCACCAGGGTTCATTTAACAGTGTGGGTATAATACTAGGGATGACAGTGACCTAACCATTGGATCCAGCCAAGGGCAAAATCCATTATCTGCTCTTTTTATGTGTTTTTTTTGGGGGGAAAGACCCCCAATTCTCTTTATATTTTTATAAAGAGTCCTTTATTAAGCCTTGAACAGAACAAAAAAAACAAATTATCTAGATGAGGGAAACCGTCAGCATGAGGCCATAATGGTGTCCAAAGGGTTGGAGGCCATGTGGTTAATTATAATAAAAAAACAACAGCAATCAGCACAAGGTCATAATTGGGCAGATCTGTTCATCACTCACAAGTGGGACTACAGAAGCAGGGAAAAGACCATGCTTAGGATACACACGCATTGCAGATTAGAAAATCCTACCGGATTAGTTCTGAGGTCCTTCCACCACCTGTCCACAGGATCATCATGGTATGACTCATGATTATGTGGCCCTTAATCATATCTGGCCCTCAGTTGTATGGGCCAACACCTCATATTTTAAATGACATGCATCTGTCAACCATTAAAGGCACACCCAGGCAAATCTTCTGGGGATAAGACAGCACCTCCCTGGGCTGTCCAGGGGAGTTGTAAACATACTCTGCCTGAGGGCAAAGCTAGCCACATTATTGGCTAATGGTCAGAAGGAACTCAAATGAAAGCTGAATTTATGTCTACTCAATTTAGGGTTAAGGCTCCTCCTGTAAAACCACAACCTTTCACAAATCAAGTCCTCTAGAATCTAAGCTCTAATATCCTAGCTGCAAATTAATTACTATCTCCAAGCCCTTGAGCCCATCTGTGGGGTCCAGTCCCACGAGTGAATGGGGTCCTATGGAGACCATGGTACAAGTATAGAAATAAAGTATTTGGTTTCTTGAGAGGGTAATACCTTTGTTCTTTGCTTCACATGATGAAAGAAGCCCGTTTTGTAATCCAAGGGTTTTTTTTTGAAGGACAGGACAAGTTGCAGGTTTCTCAGTCTCAAAGGGGTTCACAACTAGACAGGGGAAACCTCGTGGAAAAGAGCAGCACCCACATTTGTGGACATGGCAGGGTGTGAGTGGGGAATCTCAGGGACTGAGGGACTGAGGGAGCAAGGAGCAGAAGAACACAGGCCAGAGAGCAAGGGGGCCAGCACTCAGGGCAAGAGGGTAAGGGGGCAAAAGAGCACCCTAGAGTGTGCTCCCTGCCTTTATTCTAGCCCACCCCTTGTGGCTATGGGAAGGCATGGTTGAAGGTATGGTTGAGCCCACCTGGGTGATGTCATGAGCCTTGGCCTAGTTTGGACCACCCAGGTGTACCTCCCACCTGGCTGGAGGCTTAAGTATGAGCCTGCTCAGTTTGTGGTCTTCATAAGCATCTAATGGTTGCCTGATTTCTTTTCAACCTCCTTTATGGGGGCCTTTGAAGGCATGGGAGGGACAACCCCCATCCCTAAACTAGCTACCTAACTCAAGGAGACAGAGAGTGGGGCACAGGAGCCTGACCTCCAATATCAGGAGCAGAGCTGTCTCTAGTTTATTCAACAATGGGGTTATATTGTAAGGAGGCCTGCAAGTCTTCAGTTAGCACTCACACAGCAGACTGGGCCATGTGTAAATTTTGGACATCCTGAACTGTTTAGGGGAACACTTCCTATAAGTGTCAGGCATTTAAGAGACAAAGGGAGTCGATTGATTCTTGAGAGAGAGGGACAAAATAATCTGACTGCTCTTAAGGATTGGCATTCTTCAGCTGCTTAGCAGGAGCTGGGCCCCTGTAGTAAATGCTTGATATTACCATTTTAATGGAGTGCAGTCATGGAGAAAGCTCTCTACCAGGAGAATGTGTATTTGGCGCTATCTGTATCTTGGGACTGTGGAGGTGTTCCTGGAAACACTAGTTCTGGCTTTCCATGTCCTGTGGTCACAAGTGTAGAGATTAGGCCGCTTACACTTTCTTCCAGGGCCTCAGTTTCCCACAACCATCAATATATCACAACTCATGGCATTATTATAAAGAATATAAACCCGGAACTTATTTATCAAGCACCTATCACACTGTTAGTAACATATTACATTCTCAAATAATCTTCCATTTTCCTCCCATCAGAACTAATAATTTTCAAAACGAAAACCACCATAAATGTACAGAAGTTCACTTCTTTTCAACAATTGACTACAGAGTTTTTAAAAGATGAACAGAACAAAAAAGGAATGAACAGAAGCAGAAGGAATCTCTAATGAGTCCCCGTGTATTTATTCGTCATCAATTTTAACAATGTTTTAGCATTTTCTCACTCTTCCTTATCTTTGACCAACTTCTCTTATTTTGCCAGAGTATTTTAAAGGCAATTCCAAATGTCATAGCATTCAAATACCATCTCTCACCTATAAATATTTGTCTATGTCATTTTAACATAGGGTTGACAAAGTTTCAGTAAATATTTTAGGCTTCTCGGGTCAGACTGTCTCCTTAGCACTGTTCACCCTACTGGTGACAAACCCACCATAAACAATACATCGGCAATGGACATGGCTATGTTCCAATACTATTTTATTTACAAAATATTAATGATGGCCTGTAGTTGGCTGATCCTTGCTCTAGCATATCTGGAATTCTTAACATCATTATTAAAATGCCATTTCATATTAAACTAAATTAACAATGATTACTTGATATCAATTAAAGCATAGTTTGTATTTATTCAAATTTCTCTGGTTGTTTCCAGCTTTATTATTTGTTTTAAATAATTAAAAACTATTGCCAATGACATGACTCCCTAATGCTTATGAACCATGCATCATTCCCTATTTGTACAACTTAAAACCACTTGTTCAGAGAAGAGGCTCCACCTCAGATGTGGTCACTTTTTCATTTAGCCAGAGATGGGAGAGGACCAAATAGTTCCTGCCATACAGCATTATCCCACAGCCACCCCAATTTAATAGACTCTATTACCATGGTGTTATTAAAGAGACTAAAATACTCATTGGACTCAGAGCTGAAACACCCTGGGGCAATAGGAAGCAGACAACAGCTACCCCAATGTTTGTGGATTCTAGACCAGATACTTGCTTTGGAGGTAGCCCAAGAATTAGCAAGCTAAGAACAACATACATTTCCAATTTCCATATTTTC